CTGGTCAAGGACCCAACGTTGACGGGGATCAGCATCAAGGCACGGCCGTTGCTCGTGAAGACGTTAGCGCTCGTGGACAGAACGCCCCCTTGAGCTCGTCGCTGTACGACATTATTTCACATGGAAAGTAGTTTTGTCCTTGACGAATCCCGCTGCCTTGTCGTTGCCGACGACTTCTCTATTGTCCATGTAACGCTGAGGCTGTCCATCCTTCAAACCAGCGGTAGACGTTTTCCTTGTCCTTTCGCCCGCCATGAATTCGGCTCCTGCAAGCGATCTACACTATCGATCGATCCAAGAGAAGCCCAGCCACAACCTCATGGAACGGTGTTGCAAGCTGCGTTTTTGACAGCGTTGTTCGCATCGTATGAATCGATCCAACCGCACGTGCAGCAAATATATCGACTGATGGGGGTCGGAGGAAGTTGCCGGCAGCGGTGCTGGAGGCCGTGGCGCTTCTCGCCATGTTGATGAGGGAGGACTTGTATTCGAGCCAACCGTTGCTTGGCATCTGCGCACACATGGAGGACAAACGTCCTTCAACACAGACTCCATCGACCGCCCTGTCGATGATGCAGTTGCACATGGTTTTGGCTTTGCTCGTGCCACACTGACGCATCATCCCGCACCCAGGGCTAACATGACGCTACTGACGAAAGCAAGCCATTGCAGAGACACCCCATCCGGTGTTGTCGAACGTGGCCATGCCGCCGAGACTACCAAAGGAATAGATCGATCCCACGCTATTGAAGACGACGCTGGTCGACAGAGCCCGGCTTTGCATGGGTTCACAGACCAACTTGAGAAGTCAGGGTGCAAGGACCAGTCGATGTCACGGCAACTTTGGTCCTTTATCCATGGTCACGGCGAGCGATTTGGTTTGTATGGTAGGTGTACACATCTATTATGAGTTTAAAAGATCGGTTCGTCCTCGTCATCATCGTCGTCGTCGACAGCGACTTCTTCGACCACTTCGACAATCGGTTCTTCCGGCTTGGGGATGAGCCCGCGCTTCCCAGCGATAGTTGCAACGACCGCCTTGGCCTTGACCAACGGCGTCACATGTTCCGGGAACGTGATGTCCTCCAAGTAGATGCGTTGGCCCACGTGCATGCCATTCACGTCCACAAACAGCTTGGTTGGGATCGCCTCGGACGCAATCGTGCACGGAATTTCGTGGTAAACATTGTTAATGTATCCTCCGCGCTTGAGACCAGGCGAACTCTCTTGGTTCAAAAAGTCCAAAGGGATGTGCACCTTGCGGCCAGGTTTGTAGCGCAGAAAGTTGACGGACTGCGGCACGTCCGTCACTGGGTGCAAGGTGGCGTCGCGAAGCAGAACCTTCGTCACAGGGCCTCCTTCGCCCGTCGAAACTTCGTACACCTGATTGCCCATGGAGGTGCGAAGCTTGCGGTACTCGCGCTCAAAATCGACTTGGTTCATGCTCACGAGCACGCGAGTCGAGTCGCCGTTGATACCTTCGCCGTACAAGATACCAGGCAAGAGACCTTGCTTTCGCAGGCGACGGGACTCACGCGAGCCATCCTTCAAGCGAGGAGTGAGGGTGAAGTGCGTCGTTGGTGCCGCCGCCGCCGTCGACAGCGCGCGGGCCGCGGTCGCCCGCAGTTGATGGCCTTGACGCAGCATCTTCCAGCAAATAAATGGCCCTCGGTTGGACAGAGCTAACGGCGACGTTTGATTGGCCGAAATTTGGAAAAAAAAACAATCCAAAAACAAGTACTACTTCGAAGTACATGTATTATGAAGTGGTTCCACTTCTTGAGAAAAAATGTTTTTTCAATATTTTGCTTCGGCGTTCTTTTTTCGACAAAATCAACGGGGGAGAATACCGAATCCAGCGTCCCACCACCACAGGAACGACATGCAACATCACAACGTCCTGAACCCAGAGTCTCAAGTGGAGAAGGTATGATCTCAGCCAGCGCACGCACCACATCACATGACTTAGGGAGAGAATGCCCGCTTGGCCTCCTTTGTCGGTGCGATCGCGATTGCCGACATGGTCAAGACGACATTGGGCCCAAAGGGCATGGACAAAATCTTGCAGAGCGTTGGGGGGCCTGACAAGTCGATCTCTGTGACGAATGATGGCGCAACTATTCTGAAGTCTGTGTATATTGACAATGCTGCTGCCAAGGTCTTGGTTGACATTGCCAAGACCCAAGATGAAGAAGTGGGCGACGGAACAACGAGGTAACCATGCACATATGATGGACATGGCGAAGCTTCGGAATAACTGGAATAACTTGCAGTGTGGCTGTGCTTTGTGGTGAGCTCCTTCGTGAAGCCGAGAAGCTGATTGAGCAGCGCATTCATCCGCAAACGATCATCGAAGGCTGGCGCATTGCCTTGTCGACAGCGCACAAGGCTTTGGAAGCGTCGGCGCGTGACCACTCGCAGGATCCGAACAAATTCCGCGAAGACTTGTTGAACATCGCGCGGACGACCCTGAGTTCGAAGCTCATGGCCGAGTCGAAAGATCATTTTGCAGAGCTCGCTGTTGACGCTGTGTTACGTTTGAAGGGCAGCAACAACTTGGACCATATCCAAATCATCAAGAAGCAAGGTGGGGGCTTGAAGGACTCATACTTGGAGGAAGGCTTTATTCTCGACAAGCACATCGGCGTCGGCCAGCCCAAGCGCCTCGTCAACGCGAAAATCCTCATTGCGAACACCGGTATGGACACGGACAAGATCAAAATCTACGGCGCCCGGGTCAAAGTCGACTCGATGGAGAAGGTCGCGAGCATCGAAGACGCCGAGAAGCTCAAGATGCGCCAGAAAGTCGAAAAAATCGCCGATTTTGGCATCAACTGCTTTGTCAACCGCCAATTAATCTACAACTACCCCGAACAAGTACGTATCAAATCGGTCGATTTGTTGTGTCAGATTGTGTTTTTTTCAGGGTTTATGTCTTGGATTTCGTCGGAATTTTGAATATTTGCAGTGTTTCGGTGGCCTATTTCGATAGCATCGTTTGGTTGATGCAAAGATCCACCCGATGACGTTTCCTGCGTGCGCTAGATTTTCACGGAGAAGGGCATTATGGCGATCGAACACGCCGATTTCGACGGGATTGAGCGCTTGGCTGCCGTCACTGGCGGCGAAATCACATCCACGTTCGACCACCCCGAGCTCGTGGCCCTGGGCGAAGCGGCATTGATTGAAGAAATCATGATCGGCGAAGACCGCGTGATTCGGTTCTCCGGCGTCAAGACTGGGCAGGCGTGCAGTGTCGTGCTGCGCGGCGCATCGTCGCACTTGCTCGACGAGGCCGAGCGCTCGTTGCACGACGCGTTGGCCGTGTTATCCCAGACGGTATGGTCGCCACCAAGCAGAACGAGATGTCACAAGATCGTATAGGTCCGACATACGCGCACGGTGATGGGCGGCGGGTGCACTGAAGTGCTGATGGCCCAAGCGATTGACGAAAAGGCACCGGGCATTCCTGGGAAAAAGTCGCTCGCGATGGAAGCGTTTGCCCGGGCATTGCGTCAGATCCCTGCCATCATTGCCGACAACGGCGGGTACGACAGCGCGGACCTGGTGACCCAACTTCGCGCGGCTCACTTTGGCGGGCAAAAGAACGCCGGTCTGAACATGTCGAACGGGACAATCGGCGACATGGACGCCCTCGGCATCCGGGAATCGTACAAGAGCAAGATGCAAGTGCTGCTGTCGGCGGCCGAAGCGGCGGAAATGATTTTGCGCGTCGATGACATCGTCAAGTGCGCGCCCCGCCAACGCCAAGGGTAGACAAGACACAGTTAGACACCAACCAGATATATAACAAATTCGTGGCATGAAGATAGTCCGGGGCTGAAGCGACCAAGGCACCGACCGCACGTGCTAGCGACTACAATTCACGGGCATGATGTAGTGCGCCTGCCTTGAATCGTGGATGCGCAGCTCCGAGTAAGATGGACGGGGATTCAGCTGCAACACATCCCGCGACCAGCTCGAGTTCTATCCGCCAGCGCACAACTGGAGTGTGTTCATCGAGGCGCGACGTATTTACATTTGGATAAAGACATGCAATGGGTGAGACCTGCTGTTCCGTGCGGCAGACCGAGCGGCGGAACTCTCGACAACATCGACGTCGGTGGCACGTCTGACATGACATGCCACTGGCCGTGCAGCCGCACTTGCACGCGGCTCCCGTCCACTGTGGCCTCAGGTGGTGCTCCAACTCGGGGGAGCACACTACGCACCGTCCATTTACTGCAGTTGTCGATTCTGAATGCCATCTCTTGACGAGGGTTCGTCGAGATCAGGACATACTAGCCATCCGCCGCCATCTTCCACTCGAGCAAGTGCTCGACAGAGATCGATCTGGTCCACTCGTTTACGCTTCATCGCGCGGCTGGCTGTGCCAAGAGAGAGCTGGCGCTTCATCTGCGTATCCCGGCGACATGGCAGCCAAGTTCAACTTTGGTGGCTGTGGACGGGCCGTTCCAGGTCATTGCAATACAAACCTCAAGTGCATTTCCGTCGAACGGCCCAAACCCCCAGCGATACCGCAGCCTTCGACCAACTTTTCAAGCTCGCGACCGTGGCATCGGAGCACGATGTGGAACAGAAGCCCGAGCATCGAGAGCAGGCCACTTGCGATTTCACAGAGGCGCGACAGATGACCACGATCATGGCCGAGCCACTGGCGGCCGTGCCGACCATCTCCACCGCCCCGTTTCCGTTGAACGTGTTGGCTGCGCTGAAAAAGCCAAAGCGCATGCCCCCTCCATGGAATGTATTTCCGCTCCCGACCGAGCTGACAACGCTGAATCGCCGCAAGGCCGCGCGAACACGTGACTTGTCGGTCTGGGAAGCGCTCGGCCGTCTTGGCCGAATCTTTTACTCGTATGCAGACGACGCCGCCAGCGATCACCTCTTGGTGCTGGCACTGCGGCAAATCCACCAAGATCTGACACGCACGTTGCCCCCACGCGACAGATACGCCGTCATTCGGTTTGCCTTTACGCCCCACGATTTGTGGGAAGGCGAACCGCTGTACCAATTCCTCCAAGGACTTCTCATTACATCCACGGATCGAGCCAACGACGCCATGGAACGTGTTCTGGTCGCCATCCTCGACGAGTTCTATGCGTCGTATACACTCCATGGGTGAACCAGGGCCATCCCCCTCGTGTATTTATTCGCCCTCGCCCGATGGATGCCACCTTATTAATTCCCATGTTTGCGTTTTAAAGCGCTTTTCGTGAAAGTACGATGGATTCCCCATGCGTTTTGTCGTATGCACTCGAGAGGTCGTGGATCGAAAGCCAACGCCGTCGCGGCGATCCGCTTGATCTCTGGCGAAGACGCACCGTTGTGTGCTTTGACACCATGTTTGCCGTGAAAAAAGCGTCAGAAGAACGATTTGCCTCCACGCGATGAAATGGCGCACATCGAACCGTGTGTATCCTTTCTTGCAGGCAGTTCCTCGGCCATGAGTGTCGAATCTCTCGTCGGGAAAAGCGGCGTGGCCATGAGGCAGTGGGGATTGGAATCGCTCGTTCTCTTCGAAGGACGTTGTAGAGCTTTTTCGGGCTCTTACCAAAGGCGGTTGGAGTTTGGCCACTTGAAAGGAAGCAATGTGATTGGTCAGTGAAGGGGCACATTGACTTTGGAGAAAGGAATTGATTCGCTAAAATAGCACGGGAACGTATGCCCCGACACAAGCGACGATGCTGACAGCCCTCATCGTTCAGCGAGCTGCGATGGGGTTGTGCGTCCTTACGACGATCCGTCGCAATGTCTGCCGACGCTTTCATGAGTGTCCCTATGGGACAGCTTTGCGTCGTTGGTGGCTATGAGGAGGAGGTTGCCGTCGCTACACTGTAGAGCGTGTGCTCAACTGACTGATGCCTCAGTTGCCTTAAAAATCAATTTTTGAGTTTGCTTTGTTGTCATCCTGGAAAAGTCTATATTTGACAAAAGGTGCACTGTACAATATTTGACAAAAGGTGCACTGTATATATAAACGAATGACTTCTTAGTTGGACATGAATAGGCACCAGGCAGCACATACAGCCCAGCGTTCCTCTTGGGAGCGGAGTGACTTGGAGCAGACTGCTTCTGCGTTGTCATATAGTACGAAATACGGGTATCCGCCTGGCTGTCTCAAACTCATATTGGTTGGCTTCGAAATGCACCGAGTTGTCTGATTCTCGTTTCTTTAGCTAACAGTAAATTTACCGCACTTGAACGCCAAACTCAAACTCGAAATTGATTTCGACACGGCTGTATTTTACCGATGGAGTCGTTCGATCTAGGTTTAACTCAATACCAACATAACGTTTTAACACTAAAACGTCGACGATGAGTATGCATACAGTCCGTCAAAAACTATGGACGCACTCGATTTGACAACTTGCCAACCGAATCGACCACAGGCATCAGAACAGGATGCGTCAAATGAGATTCAAACTACGTATCTACATGAGAAGAATCAAAGTTCAATACAGGATCAAAATTATTTAGAAAATTCGTGTATGCCCTGTCCAAAAATCATAGACGCAGTGGTGGCAAAGGAATCAATAGATAATCGGCGCTAATACATTATCGCCGATTATCTATCGATTCCTTCGCCACCACCAATGATACTTCGGCCATTCGAGTTGGCATGTCGACGACCAGTGATTGGAGGTAGCTGACTTGGACCTGATCCCATGAAGACTGGATTTGCTGCATCAACTGCGCCTTGGTCACAAATTGGCGCCCGTTGCGGTACACAGAGCGTGCCAAGAGCCCCACACGTTCTCAATGATGTTGAGATCGGGGCTCTTGGCAGGCCAATCAATTGTTTCGAAGTTCTGTCGCGCCAGGTACGCCTTGGTCTTGCGCGAGGAGTGAATACTTGCATTATCATGCAGAAACCCAGGGTCTTGAACGCCATGACTTGTTTGGAGCTCTTGCATGAATCACAAAAGATACTGCTGTAGTGTTTGGCAGTACTCTACTGAATCTTGTTTGCCTTGGAGAAACGCTAACTTTGATTTACCGTCGAATGAAACTCCGGCCCAAATCATCACAGAACCCCCGGCCATGACACGCTTCGAGTACGACTCAGGCTCCTTGCGGAGGTCGTGCCAGTAATATTGGCACCCGTCTGTATCGTCCAGGTTGAATTTCTCTTCTTCTGTAAACACTACGCGGCTCCAAAAGTTGGGCACATGGATGTACTTCTTCGCAAATCGCATGCGTGCAAGCTTGTGGTGCTTTTTGAGATGCGGTGTTGGTTTTCTTCATATACTTGGCAAATTTGGACGCCTTGAGTACGTTTTGAACGGTAGACTTTCGCACTTCGTAGTTCATTGTTGACGCAATCTCTCTACACTACATGCCTTTGACACACGCGAGTCGAAAGACCCGACGAACGATTGACTTTTAAATTTTAGACTTCCACCGACTTTCTTGCGAGTTAATCCCTCTCGTGAGTACAAAACCAACATTCGGACCCTCTCGTAAGCACAAGAATGTCGCAGGGCATAGACAGCCCAAGAGAGCCAGTGCGTGTCGTGACTCCAGTTTCAT